TTTTTATAAATTATTGTCTATAAACTGCTAATATGCCAAATTAATGGAAAAAAACATTCAATATTCTTTTTTTTATTTTTTTTCTTCGGGGATCTTTGAAGGTGAAGTGTCTAGGAAAGAAAGGAAGCCTCTTAAAATGGGTTGACATAGTGACTACAACAATGGGTTCAAGTGTGTCAGAAGTGTGGAGGATGATGCAGGACTTCATAAAATTCAGATCAGCTGTTCATAGGGTTACTATGAATTGTCATTAACTTGACAGCACCTAACAAGAACAAATTTATGTCTGTCTTTATAAGGGACAATGTGATTACAATATCTTCTTCTAAATTTATTGTTATAAATGATCTTTTTGTTTGTTTGAAATACGTGAAAAATATCAAGTTGTACACTAATAGGACACTGTCAAGCTCAATCCAGAGCACCAAACAAATAGCAAAGAAAACTAAAATGACATTTACTTGCGTTTTACAGACTATGCAAAGGTATTTGATGTTGTTGATCATAATAAATTATGAATAGCATTGAAAATATTTGGATTCCAGAACGTTTAATTTTTCTCACGTAAAGCCTGTGAATAGATCTAGAAGTAACGATTTGACCAAATTAATGGGAGACTTCAGGTTTAAAATCAAGAAAGATATGCATCAGGGTTATATTTTTTCATCAAAACTTTTCACTCTATATTCTGAGTAAATAACCTGAGAACCTGGACTATGTGAAGAGTCTGATATCAGCTTTAGAGAAGGTCTTAGTGACAATTTTTGTTATGTAAAAGGCATGACTTTGCTTGCTGAAAGTAAACTAACATTATATATTTTGTATTATATTAATTATATGATATCATATAATATCATATCATATTTATTATAGTCTATTCTTATATTTATAATTATATTATATTATTTTATTATGTTATGCAAAGTTGGGAACAGAGAAGAAGAATCAGTAGTTGGAAAACATGGGCTTGGTGACAGGAATGAAGCTGGAGATAGAATGATTGAATTTTGTACAATCAATGACTTCTTCATTGCAAATACATTTTATAAGAGACACAAATGCAGGTTATACACATGGACTTCACCTGATGGTATGCATAGGAATCAGATCGACTACATCTGTGGAAGGAACCGCTGGAGAAGCTCAAT